CAGAAGAAGGGAAACAATGACAGAAGGCGATACAGCATACAAGAAAGCGAGAAAAGTGCTCAAAAGTGCAAAAGGTCCGAAAAGACACTGTGGGGGGTCAAGAAAGACAAAGGACGTCTGAATTTTGAAAACAAAAGGGGAAAAAACGTCTGGGGTACGATTAAAAGACACCAGCGCTTTGGAGAAGGTAATAGGACATAAGAAGAGGAAGAAAAAGGGTCGAAAATACGAAAAAAGGCGCCAGAGGAGGATCAAAGTTGACGCCAGGATAAGGAGAGGCACCAAAAACGAGAAAAAGAAGGGAAAAATGAGGAAAGTGCGTTTGCAAGGCAAAAGCAGCTATAAGATGAAAATGAATGGAAGCAGAAGCAGAAGGGAGAAAGCAAAAGATGGGCCGTGACAGCGAGACTGGGAAGGTCAAGCAAAAGATAGGTATGCAGAAGAGAAGAAGAGATAGAAAAGAATGGAAGGAACATCAGAGGACATTCAACGATGGCAAAAGCGTGAAAATGGGGGTTACGAAAGCAATCCGATGAAAAGGGTGGAAAACGTCGAGGAAGTGTGGTGTTGGCAAAGCATGGCTCTCAGACAAGGGGGAAATGGCAGAAAAAGGGTATAGGGCATTGAAAGAGGACGAGGAAGGGAAAAGAGGGGCAAAAAGGGCAATCATGGCAACAACGAGAAAAGACGAAACGAGAACAAGCAAGAGATCAGAGCGATCCAACGATCCACTCCACTGATCCACCAAGCCACCATGTCCGCAAAACCACAAAGAAAACAGAAAAGAGGGCAAACTAACCTTCATCAGCATCGTCATCCCGGTCCCGTTTCGCTTTCTTCGCCGGTGGGGGCGACGCAGCAGTCTTATCTGCCGCAGCCGCGGCCTTCTTGGAGCTCTTTGTGCTAGGCCCAGCATCTGCGTCATCTTCAGCGTCATCCTCCGCATCTGCCTCAGCTTCACCTTCATCTTCGGACTCAACCATCGCTTGGGACTTTTTGGAACGTTTAGAGGCACCATTGCCATTGGCGGCCTTGGCCTTCCTTGTGGTGCTTCCAGCATCAGCGTCTTTCTTTGCCTTGGCTTTCGCTGGTTTATCGGATTTCTTCCTGCAGAAGCATCGTCGTGTTTCCTCTTCTTCCCTTGTTTCTTGCCTAGCAAATTAAGGAATTAGCATGTCACCGATGACGATAAAACATAACATGAAAAAACGCGAACCTGCAGCCCCTTCATCTTCTCCATCCTCCGTCTCTGCAAGCTGATCAATCTCAGCATTTTCCTCCATGTCTACTGTATCCTGGATCATAGCCTCTTTCTCCGCGAGTCACGTCGCAGGGTCCAGAGCAATATGATACCCATTCAACAGCTCTGACGACTTTTTGTGGGGCTCCGAGATGTACGACTCGATTTCGTGTCGTTGGAGCTTCGAGATGTCTTTCTCAACTAACCATGCACTGCATGCAACGTGTCAGCGTGGGCCACGTCAGGGCGGAGAACGCATGGAAAGAAGGACACACTGGTCACCCAAAGGGAAGAACCTGATGCAGTAGAACGTGGCCTTTTTGCTGCTGGGGTGTTCGAGAGCCACGGTGGGGTGAACGTTGTCTGGGTCCACAACCTAGACGTAGATCAGAACCGTTGGACGTACTCGACGCGAGGAGGCTCACCATGCCGGGCCACGGTGGAAAGCCGCGCACTTTGCCTAGGACCGTGTCGTTGATGTTGTACGTCGTTGCCACCTTTGCCTGCTGTGCTTTGCTACTTTTCTTGCTCATCGTGGCTGGCAACGTGTGTGATGTGGCAGACGGTGAGGAGGGATGTTAGGAAACCAAAAAGGATGATGATTGAAGGTTGTTGAAGCACGAGACAAGCGGCCTCTGTCGGAAAAACCCGGGAAGCCTTATAAGGCAGGTAAGGCACGTAATCACCTGAACGAATTATAATCCAATTATAATCAAGACTGGGTGACTTTCCGTAACACAAATTCTCTAGATTTGAATAAATCGACGAAATCTAGGGTCCTTTGCCGGGATGCCGAGTCTTGTAAGGGTTCGACTTTGATGGAGTCCCTGGTTGGAACCCAGTTACAAACCTTAATCTATTCAGAGGGTACAGACCCCTCGAACAGATTTCAAACGCTGGAATCAACCCTGCCAAGGGGACACCTTTCCTTCCTGGGTACGATTCCTTCCCACATGGCTTAGTCAGCTCTACCTCATCCCCTCCTACTCTCCTACGGCTGGGGCATTCTGCTCCCTCTCGTTGCAGTTCAAAGCCACTACAGAGTCTATTAGAAGTGTCAATGTCTTATGGCTACAAAATCCCCTCCCGGAAACTGTTGCTCCCTTTACAAACACCCTTCTTGACACCTAACTCACTGATCCACAGCCATGTTCAGCTCAACTTGGGCTTCACCCAGAGTGTGGTCTAATTTTACAGCGGGGTGGATGAACAATCAGTATAATAAACCCATCCACGGGCCTACACGACCTCAGAGCAGCTCAGATGGGAGGGAAGTGAGTTTGTACAAGGCAAGCAAATACATCAAATAGAATCTAATCAGTTGGCGTTACGGTTTATTCACTCCAATAAACTCTCCTGTGAAGTTCTCGTTTCAAACTCCGATAAGGGTCAAATTTATTCATTTTTATAGATTTGAGTTACGGAAAGTCACCCACTATAATACAAGACGTGACCATTTTAACGCAAAGGGACAATTGTAAGGTACCACTCAATTGTAAATGAAACGAAAATTTGTAGTGAGCTCGTAGCTCAATTGTAATGTGCGATTTTCTTACTAGTCGATCTGCGGATTTGTAGTCGTGTTGTTACTTTCTACTGTTGAACAATTGTTATTAGAGGGAATCGAACTCTGAACCTATTGATTACTTACTTTGTTATGACGTGCTTACTGACTTGGCTATAGTTACCACTTGGTTATGGGGACATATTTAGCAATAATATCTAGCTTAATTTGTCATGACGAGCGCTAGGCTCGCAATACAGTTGATACAGAGCGCTGTTCTCGCTCCTCGTAAACTTAGCTAGATAGGTGAAAGAACAGTAATAAGTAAAAAAAGTCGGTCCATAATGCAATAAACAAGTGAATCCAGTCAATTGCAGTAGCTAGACATTGATACAACGCAGATGTAGTAGCTCAGCATGCTCAATCGCCGTTCAACGGCTGCTCGTCGACGATGCCCTCACAATGCTGGACCCAGCTACTTCGCATTTGCCTTCGATTTTGCACCACGCGTCTGCCGACTTGGACGAGCGAGCACCGCAGGTATTCCGGCACCTGAATCAGCATCAACTTGAACAACCGAAACCTGTTTTGGGCGTCGACCACGGGGAGCTTTAGCGGGTGGCGCAGGCACATCAGCAACAGCCTCGGAGGTTGAGGGAACTGGCGTGGGGACTCGACGACGTCCACAGGGTGGATTGATTGATTGGGAGATGGGGGCGACAGGAGCAGGGGTGTGCGCTTCCACGTTTGGATGCAAATCCGGCGCCCGTTCCACATCTGAGTGGGCGTTCACGCACTCTACATCGGTTGGAAGGGTCTGGGGGAGTGGGAGTGAGCTAGAATTTTTCGAAGTGGAAGCTGAAGAAGTGTCGGCTCCCATACGCAGTCCACGGAACATGGAATCGAGACCTGGGTTTTCATCAGCGTCAACCCGGACACGTGGTGCTTCTTCTTCTTCGTCCTGTGAGTCGGGAGTGAGGAGGAATTGTGGAAAAACTTGCATGTTCCAGTATTGCAGGAGCTTTCGAATGGTTGGCGCTAGTGTTTGGAAGTCCGGTCTCGTGACTGGAAAAAGACCGTAACCAGACCGGACCAAGACCGCAAAAGACCGGACCTGCGGTTACAGTCTTTTATTTTTGAAATGTAAAGACCGCAAAAAAACCGGTTAACGTGAACCGGTCTTTTGTAGCCCCTTAAATACCCTTTAAAACGCACCCAAGAACGTATGATTCGGTAAAAAAACGAGAGAGATATGAATTAAAATGTAAATTACTTTTGGGAATAATAGATGTACCAGACTTATTTTATAGAAGCACCAATTCCTAACGGAATTTAACGTTCTTGGGCTCGTTTTGAAGCTATTAAAGATGTTAATAAATTTACCGATTCATAATTTTAAAATATTGGCCTAAAGACCGGTCATAAACCGGTTAAAACCGATGCAGACCGAAACCGGTCTATAGACCACAAAAAACCGCGGTCTGCGGTCTTTTTGCGGTCTGGTCTGGTCTTTTGACTTCTGGGGAAAAGGCAGACCGGTTACGGTTACGGTTAACGCCCCTGGGCATCAAAAAACCGGACCAAACCGGACTTTCAAACACTAGTTGGCACATCCTGATTTTCGATTAAAAGCTTTTTGTAAGCTTCTGCCTCGCTCGCGTAGTTGATTCCTGTAAGTTTTCCGATGCCATGCTTGTTCAGCTCAGGATCACCTCCGAGAAGAAAACGAATCTAGTAATAATTTTGTTAGCCAGAGGACTTATATGCGTAATGAAGAGCTGTGAAGCGTACAACAACTTCGGTGTTGCTAATAAATCCAAAGGTAACACCATCTACACGGCCATGAAAGGGACTGTTTTTGTTGAATGCAGCTCTCTCCGATGTGTACGATCGTGGGCCATAGGCGATGAGACGTGCCATCTAGTATTGTAAGTAGTACGACAAGTGTTTAGAAGTCCATTAATGAAAATACTTGAGAAATACTTACGGAGATCAAGTAATCACTTCTGAACATGCCCTCTTCGTCGTAAATATTGCCATTAGTATAGAGAACTGGCGCATTTGAGGGGTAGTGTGCTGTAGGTGTTTTCCCGCGGGGGTTGAAGCCAAGAAGTGTCGCAAGTTCAGGATTAGCTTCCATGCGCTTCTTGTCACACTTGGGATTGTAGTCGAAGAGGCTTTGGTCAAGGCCAAAAATTGCCCCTGCGCTCCCACGCGTGCGCAGAAGTGTGTTCGAGCGGCCTGATGAGACGCTCGCTCAGAACTAATTGAGCACATTGTGAGTTTTTATGATCTATGCGAGAGGGAGAGATCACATACAATACTTCGGAAATTCTCATGCTTCACCATGTAGTCATGGTATTGAGGAGGAATGCACATGTAGAGCTCTGCAGTTTGGCCGGCTAATCTTGTTGTTGAATCGAGGTACCGGTCCTCGCTATCCCACGTGAAGTCAGGGCGAGAAATATCGAATGGGGAAGGTGTGCTCTGCTGAATCCAGAACGAGTAAAAATGAGCAAAAACTTTCCCTAGTTTACCGATTTCTTCGTCGTGTGCAGCAAGTTCTTGCGACGGAGCTTTGGAGCCATTGTTTTGACAACGGGAAGCGGCAAGTTCTTGTTTTAGCTGTTGGTTCTCAGCCTTCACAGCATTGAGCTGGCTATGCGCATCGTGCAGTGCCTGGCCGAAGAATGAAAAGTTAATAAAATCGGAGATCAAGGTGATGGCCATAAGTCAGTCAGTCATACTTACCTTAAGAAGCGCGGCAGTGTCCAATCCAGCGTGAAGCTCTGACCCGACGCTGCCGTGACTGGCTGTCGAGTTGTCAGATCTGGATGTGGAGATGGAGTCAAGGCCAATCATCGATGGTGTGAGCGACGTCATCAGAATAAACTAAGGGGAGCTTTCACGAATCAAGTGAATCAAGAGTGAAAAGAGAGTGGGGATGTGTTTGCTGTGAGAAACTGCCTTGTTTAAATGAGAAGTGCGTATGGTACTGTTTCCTGAACGCATGCAACGGTGAATCGGATTTCGTTCCGGAATTTTGACAACATGCAGTATGCAAGGTCTACAATTTAGGTGTAGATAATTTGATCCGTTGTTGCATTATTGCGTGTCAGCTCGAGTAATGGAAAAATGAAAGAACAAGGTCGGGCCGGTGACTAAAATTAAATTTCGGTAACTTAACTGATGATAATACATTTTGAAAAGCATGGGCCGGAGAAACTTTGCCTTGAGGCCAATTAATTACCTCATCGACATGCATCAGATTAAATAACTCTAAACTTTTGAATGGGTGCCGATCTCAGTAGCACTTGTCTTGAGTAAACTTTGATGTGAGAATGAGTGAAGCAAGAAAGGCATGATGAGGGCAGAGAAGGGGGGGACGGAAGTGGCGGCAGAGGCATAACCAGTGCAGTTGGCAACTTTGGCTTTTGGATTCCTTGTCCATCATTGGACTTTACAGATGTCAGACTGGATTGCAGTATTGTTTCTGGGCA